GAGATGAATATCACAATTTGTCAACCCATTAAATTGTTTTGTGACAACCAAGCCGCAACACATATTGCCTCTAATCCAGTGTTTCATGAAAGGACTAAACACATTGAAGTTGATTGCCATTTCGTGAGAGAGAGTGACAAGTGGAGAGGTTGTTACACCCTATGTTAAATCTGAAGACCAAGTATATGATATTTTTACTAAAAGTGTGGGTCGCTCAAAGATGGACTATATTTGTAACAAGCTAGAACTTTATGATATATATACTCCAGCTTAAGAGGGAGTGTCAGAATTGTTAGAAGTAGTTAATAGGGGCAGTATTGTCATTTTCATGTTATTCTTTCTATCTTATATCAGTTGTAATTTTCCTAAGGGTATTGTAGTCATTTCAGCCTTAATAGAATGTTAATACAACCTGGATCGACAGTAAGGAGAATAGAACAGATTTCTCCTTTCTTATCTTCCCCCTTTTCTTCTCCTATTCTTCTCTTTCCCTTCCCTTTCTCTTCCAATCTTCTTCTCTTTCTTTCTTCTATCCTTTTCTTCACATTTTCCTCACTTTATTAAAGTTGGAACAGATTCTTTAGCTAAACAAGGGGCTTCTAGGGATTCTCTATTTTTGGCTAATTTGTAACTGCAATATGAAAAAACTTGGGTTTGGAACCACCTTTATGGGCAGTGCTTCATGCTTGTACTATTTCTATCTCTATTTAATAAAATACCATTCACTCATCAAAAAAAAAAAACATTCTGCTTTTAATTGTGCCAAATAACCAAGTTACCTCCAACAAATAAGCAATATCTAGATGTAAATCTCCTGTTTGTGATAAACTCAGCTCAATCTAATCTATATACACCTCAACTCTAAGATGTCCATGACCAGAAAAGGTAGAGATGATTTCAAATATCTCAAAATTTTGTGAGTTGCTTCTAGGTGTATACTTCTTGGGCCATGCATAAACTGGCTCACAACACTAACCACATAAGCAATGTCAAGCCTAAATTGTGACAAACAAATGGACTTCCCAACTAGGAACTAAACCCTTATTGTATCAATCAAGGGGTGACCATCTTGATCACCAAGGTGATGATTTAACTCAATTGGTGTCTCAGCGGGCTTGACCCCATGGTGTATTTGTTTGCTGATCAAGATGGTCCATGGTGCATGTTGTTTTCTGTGATATTGTTTTAATTGATGAAACTAATGAAGTATGAAATGCAAAATGAATTTCACGGACAAATACCCTAGAAACAAACAGTTTTAAAATAAGTAGAACTAAAACAGAACATATGATATGTGATTTTAAAAATAATAGGGGTGCAAATGAGGATATACTTAGGATTGGGACCATCTTGATCAGTGGCTGTGTATAGACTTTAAGAGTGACATTACTAGTTACTGGCTGTTTTGTTGTTTCCGATCCTGCTCATGTGTATAGATTTTACATGTATCAATTAATGTAAATATGGGACTAAAACAGAACATATGATCAGTGGCTGTTTATAGACTTTAAGAGTAACATTACTGTGTACAGACTTTACATGTATCAATTAATGTAAATATGGAGTGTGTATTCAGGACCAGGTGGATCACCAGGATGATCAGGATGTAATTCATTCTCAGTATCTGTGTGTGTGTGTGTGTGTGAAAATCATTGTCATAGTTGTCAAGGCAATGCTTAGGTGACAAGGGTGCCCATGGAGGGAGCCTTACTTAAGTGCCTAACTATTTTGTAATGGTGCTATTATATGTTTTTATAGTCTTAATGTTTTGAGGTTATAATAATAAAATAGATATTGTTAAACTACATTATTCGTTTTGTGGGTCAAAATACTTATTTCTTTTTATTATTTTCTTATTTGTTAGGGTCAATCAACACACATGTTGGCTGCATGCTGTCTTGAATCCTTGAAGATTTCAAAACCTGAACCAATAAGCAAGAAAAAACTTACAATTTTGTCCAATCAACATATTATTTCTCTTCTTCCTAGGGCAAAAACAGGGGCCCAGCCCCTCTATTTTTCTGAATTTTTTCTTTATTCTTTTTCTTCTCATGAATATATTGATCTTCTATGTTTTAATATGAAGTTTATACTTTTTTATAAAAATTCTAGATAATTACTAGTGAAAGATGGTTGCCGGTTGTATGAAACCTAGAGAATTACCCTAGTACTCATGGATTTTATTAAAAACAATCCATCACCTACGCAACTAGGCAACAAGGGGCCCCCTTTTGCCCAGCCTCACCTTGGCGCCTTGAAAACTATGTTCACTGTTATTGATCAAAAAAAGGAAGACTAATTGGGAGATGGTGGGCCAACATAATTTGCTCAATGAGAAGAAAAGATGACTTACCCATCCTCGATTCTCTCCAAATCAACATCCCTTATGATTTTCATCATCTGCCTCTCACAAGCAGCACTTGTCTCAAGAAACTGTTTCTGATCTTCAGTTAAATCCGTAGCCTCCAAGAGTGAGTTAGAAAAGCGTATTCCACTTAGTGGATTCTTTATTTCCTGGCAGATATAGGCCAACTCTTTCATTCTTGCAAAGCATTTCTTCTCTTGCTGTCTCTGAATTTCAAGAGCTTGCTGAAGTTCTGGACTTGCAATCTGCAAGAAACAGAATGCACCAATAATCTGGCCTTCCATATTAACCCTCTTATTTGCTGTCAAAAGAGCATGTACATATTTCCCATTGCGGTCAAAGAATGAAAATGGAAACTTGTCTGTTTCTTGCCCACCAATTGCATTGTGCAAGACAATCATGAATTTTGTCAAGGCATCCGGACCCCTTAGCCGACATATACTGCCAAAAATCTCCCCCACCAACATCTTCCCAATCATGTCTCCTCTTCCCCATCCAGTCAGCTTTTCCATGGCCGTGTTCCACTCCGAGCAACAAGTATTCTCATCAGCCGCAAATATAGGTGGGATCAGAGGGTTGGGGCTCTGCACAATGGCTTTATAATCACCCTGTATGTGGATAAACTTGTCCATTACCACTTTCTGACCAGTGACATCCTGACCCACAAAGCAAACTCCAACAATATTATTCATGTAATCTTTGCTAGAGCAAGCATTGACAACCACAAAAATGGCTTTATTTAGCTGTTGTGAGCCAAATGTCTTCAGCTTTATTTCTACATTCTTATCTTCTTCACCTGCATAAATCTGAATTAAGTGACAAAATATTCACAGTGTTGACAAAATGAAGAAGAAGAAGAAGAAGAAGGTCCTAGATTTGTTAATCATTTTCATTGTCAAAGTACAAAAAAATTGAAGTAATATATAGGTAATCATGTGTATCCAAAAAGGACAGGCACCAGATATATGTATGGTTTCAGATGATAGAACTTGAAACTTTTTATTGAGAAAAAAATTAAAAAAAAAAATTAAGTTTAAACATTTGGTAACAGAAAGCATAATCTAAATTCATACCAAGAGAAAAAAAAAAATCGTACCAAGAATGTCATATTTACAGATGACATATGTTTACTCATAGAATTTCGAGATTCACCAAGACATGTTTGACACACCCAATTTTTCTTGTTTGGTCAGTTAAACAATCTGATGTCATGGCATTAGTTTTTTTTTTTTATCAGCATGGTACTAGTTGTGCAAATAAAATCATGAAACACTTGATTAATGATTTTGCAAACTAGAAGCACCAACAATTAGAGATGTTACACTTGCCTCTAAGAGCATGATAAAGAAGCTGGTTGACAACCTCCACAGACTCCTTATGAACAAGATCATGAACCAGTGACTTCCCCATGGCTTCCTCAACTGAAAGTCCTGTCAACTCTGCAACCTTTGCATTCCACCCATTTATCTGCCCAAGTGAATCGATGGCAAAAATGGGAGCAGTAGCAGTTTCTATCAGCCTAACCATCTCTCTCGCAACTGAACTGAGCTCATCCATCCCTTGCAACTCCAAATTCCCAACCTCAGCATTAACCACAGCCTTGGAATTACTGCCCTCAGCATTCCTAAATGAGTCCCGAAGTATAAGCTGCAAGGAGTGAATTGCATCCATCTCAGAATTCTCCCAAGGCAAACTACGGCTCTTAACAACTTCCAAGAATGCCTTAAAGGAAGAACGAGGGTGCATCCTCTGTACATCATCCTTATCCTCCGGATGATGTTTTGCCCCTCCCCATTTGATCTCTTTGGCTGTGTGGGACCTGAACCAAAACAAGAAATCTCTAGATGATATATAAGCCACAGCCATCCCACAAACTGCATCACCAAGTGAGGCTGCTCCAGGGTACCCAGCATCAGCCAAACTGTCCGTGCTCAACCCTGTGGAGTCCCCATGGTGAGCCAGCAACCACTCTGCAATATCTTTTATCTGAGCCTCAGTAGGGGTGACACCAAGTGGATAGTATTTCCCTTGGTAATAAAGTGCAGCCCCATCGCACTTTACAAGGTCCATGATGCTGGGGCTCTGGGTGACAATACCAGTAGGCGAATCCCGGAGAAGCATATCACACAAGAGAGTTTGGGTCCGTAATACATGCTTCTCTGATAACTGGGATGCTAATTGCAATTCCATGTTCAACTGAAGTCCAAAGGCCTGCATAAGGAACTCGCAAGCATAACGGAGGGGGAAGGGAATGCACCTTGGAGATGTATGGTGGCACACGACAAGTCCCCATAGCCTCATAGAGTTACGCCCACCAGCACTTTCTTCATCATTCCCATTGATAATTACTGCTAAGGCTAGGGAAGCTATTGAACCCATGTTGGCCATATACTGAGCATGACAACCGTGTGGGGCACGGAGTGTCGAACCAACCAAGCATAAGGATTGAGTAAACCCTTCAGCCTGAATTATCCGAACAGGTGTGGCATGGCAATTAACTATCATCCGGATACGATTCTGCTTGAACAAGAACCTTGAGGCCTGGGGTATGTCAGTGGCAGGATAGTGTAACCCAATATAAGGCTCCAGGTCCGGCCGCTTGCTCTCAGACACAACCTCACCATGCTCATCCTCGTGGAATTTATACACCATGACTCGATCATATCCCGTAAGCTCCCGCACTTGCTCAACCACGGTATCGCAAAGAAGCTTGATATCCCCACCCGGAAGCGATTGCAACCTTGAAATCGCACGGACGGCGAGCTTCTGTGACTGCACGGCCCCTGCAATGGACAAAGCGGGGTCCTCCGTCCTTGCAGGCTCCAAATCAATTACAATTCCCACATCGATCCTATGCAAAATTGCATAGAAGGGTTTCCCGGAATTCTTGCAGTGAACCCAAACAGGGTTGAGTAACGTAATTTCCCGGGCACCAAAGGCCTTCTCGAGCAAAACCGCACTCGATGGAATGAAAAGAGTTCGGACATCGGTGCCAACCGTGAGAGTCTCATGTCTGTCCAGATTGGGGACCGACTGCGGATTAAGGTCGAGCATTTCCGTGGCATTCTCACTGTAGGCGATGACCAAGAAGTTGGATTCATCGACGGCGACCATACAGCCGAAGGGCTGTATGTAACCGCCGCGTTGAATTTTGGACAAGTAGGCGGTGATTTGTTGTTCAGGAACAGATTGATTGGTGGTTTTAACGGATTGGGAGTAGTCGAAGGACTTACCGGACTCGCCTGATTGCTCGAAGACGGCATGGAGACGAGCATCGATAGTGTACTGGGCAATGGCCTTGTTCACGGAGTCGGCGTGGTTGTGGGGTCTGATATTGCTTCCACCGGAGGAGTGGGTTTGGTGGGCATTGGTTGCTCTGCTGCCTGAAGCCATGAATGGGAATGGGGTCTTCTCCGTTGCCTTTTTTCCTTCCTCTTCCTTTAGCTGGATAGGGCCTTCGCCCTTGGGAGAGATCTTAACAACTCTCAACTAAAAATCTTCCCCTCTTGATTCGTTCGAGAATCGAAATGTGTGGGTGGACCTTAGAAGAAAGGCCCAAAAGAAAAAGAAGAACGGATTATCGGGTGGGGTTTTGATACTTTTCTGGTGAGGATAAACGATGCAGAAGAAAAAGATTTCTACAGTTCTGATCCTTCTATTGATTCCCTCGACACACTTATCATGCTGTCCCTCAAGTCCCCCTCGCTGTGAGCTTTGGGTTGGGCTATTTGGCTACCTGCCGGCTGCCGCTGCTCTCTCCCTCTCTCTTCCCTTCGTTTTTTTTTTAATTTCAGAATTTATTTAGAATTTCTTTTTGGGGTAGGAAAATTTAAAATTTGGGGGAAGGGTGGGGCCGCGGTTACCTTTTTTTTTTAAGGGGATATTTGTGTTAACAAATAGAAAGTACAGAAGCCATGTTTGTGCACGTGACAGGTCGTTGGATCCATGGAGCCCACTAGGGAGGTGGGTCCAGCAAGCTTTTGGGACTTCGGTGGAGACATACCTGATAGAGTTGGGAGGCATCCAATCAGCAGAGAAGAGAGTTTGGATGTGGCCAATGGGCGTGATTATGATTTCATTACGCAAATTTTAATCATTCTGACAATGACCCTACATTATAGTGGTTCTGTCGGGACCCACCACCCCCCACGTGAACGTTATGGGAGTGGGGCCCTGATTGCTGATCTCGACTCCGCATCGGCGGTGGTGAGTTGTGTCACGTCAAATGTCAATGTGTGTAGGTGATGAGAGATAATACAAAAGCAGAAAAGCTCTTCTGCCTTTTATTTTCCTTTTCTTTCTTCTTTTATTTAAAAAACAAATAATATTTATTTATAGATAAAAAATAAGAATAGGCACATCATGGTTTTGTGACAATACGTGATAATTAAATTATGGGTGTTTAAATCATTTTTTTCACTCAAATCTTTTTCTAATATATATGACATAATGCAAATTAAGTAATTTAATTCAAGGTTTAAAGTATTGATATTAAACACTCTAATTATATTCGTTTATATGGTCATGAATAAGGATAAACCACGATTGGTTACATATTTCACAAATTAAATCATGCATATAGGTGTATAATTTAACAAAATTGTACATTGACTGCCTTTCCATTATTTTCCAATTTTAATGAAAATTAACATTTAAAATTATAAAAACTGAAATAAATAATTTAAAAAATAAATTTTCATACAAATTTAATAAAAACCAAAAATTAAAAAAATAATATATTTATTTACCTTAAATAATTTATATGTTTTATTTTAAACATAATTATATGTTAAAATTGAAAATATATTTATTATTTGAAAATTAGAGTTATTATATGAAATGCTAAATAAATAATTTTTTCCCAAAAAAATAAAAAATTAAGTAATATAAATTTATAATTATAGAAACTAAAATGAATAATTTAAGATTTAATTTCCCCCAAAAAACTAATAAAAACTACAAATTATAAAATAATTTATTTTATCTACCTTAAATGATTTATATGTTTTATCTTAAACTTATATGTAAAACAAAAACAACTATATGTTAAAAATGAAAGCATAATTAAAGCATAATTATTATTTAAAAAATAGAGTTATTATTTATAAAAATACTAATGAAAATTTTCAAATTTCAATAAAAATTAAAATAGAGTGATATCCATTGGATCATGTGAACATGTTCTGAAGTCTCGATATTGTTGATTGTAATGTTTCTCTTCATATAATCTATTAAAGTTGCATTTTTCATGTGTTTTACTTTATTCATAAATAATTCAGCTTTAGATTTAGAGGGCGTTCTTGTTTTGGATTTTGAGAGGGGGAAAATTGGTCAATGAGATTTTGGTTCTCATTGACCATTAATATATGTTCTTTTTTTCAGATTAATGTGGAGACTAGGAAAAGTATCACTTATGTGGGTAAGTGATCCCCATCTCCTAGGTGGGTAAATAACTTTCCCACATGGAGGAAAGATTCCAATGCTTAAATGGGACAAAAATTCCCCATTTAATAATAGATTTTTATAGTTTAAATGGTCATTTTCTTTTTTACTTGGGAAATAAAAGAAAATGGGTAAGTACACTTACCTTTCCCAAGAAATACTTACCCAGGTAACTGCATTTACCCAAGCAAGTAACTTACCGAAAAGCAAATGGGACCTTAGTGTTATTAATATATTTATGTGATTTGTATGCATTTGCCTAGCGTATCCAAGTGTTTCCATATCCTCATTTCATATCCATGCATTTCCAAAATGTATCAATATCCAATTTGTTCAATACAATATTCAATACTCATACTTTGATCTTTGATTTTAACTATTACCATGGCCTTTGTGGAAACCAAGCAAGTAACTACCTTATATAGCATGAAATGAATTAAGGGGAGTGATTGGTGATGTTGTTCGATCCGAGGTGTTTCAATTCGAACCGAGGATGCAGTCAAATAGTCCTACCAACTGGACGAAGTCAAGGTGGAAGGGTGAAGCCGCAAACTTAGATCTACAACCACAAGAAGAGCCAGAGGCCCAAGGAGTTATTCCCCAGGTAGGGACTCTCACACTCAAGTTAGTAGGGTGAAAGGGGTTGGTCGGGACGAGTAGGTTGAGATGATGTTAGTTTTGAGTCAAAGAGATGATGTGAAGAGGTGCTAAGTGAGTGGAAAATTCCAAAAGTCCTTTACCTCGAGTGAGAAAAACCTATTTATAGTTGAACATCTGTGTTCTGGCCAGATTAGGCTTCTAGGGTTATCGGGATGAGGTCATCCATCGAGGTCCTTAAGGAGTTCCCTTTTCCCTGGCGAAGTGCACTGCCTTGTCTGTATGGGACATTCCTTCTTGGTTGCGCTCTTCCGTCATGCGGTTTTTGGGTGACAATGCTAACGCGTTCCAAAAAGAGCGGCCATAGAATCCACCACGTAACGCCCTTGGCTAGCTTGGCGACCACCCGAACACCACTCCTTCATTCCCAAGTTGAGGAGTATAGTGCTCGATCGCAACTAGGTGGAAGAGTTCTAAGGTCCTCAACTGAGGAACTCCAATTTGTTTGAGCCAACTAGCTCAGGGTTGGACCGGCTTAGTGGGCAGACCGGTTGGTTCAATGCTTGTATCGTTCCCATTATGGGTTGATAGATGCCTCATTTCGTCTTCGCAAGGTCATGCGCGTACAAAGTGTGGCAGCAAACCTATGTCGTTGATACGAACCGTTGGCTACCTTTATATAAAGGGAGGTTGGCAAGCCATTTCACTTTGTCATTTGGAGAGTGTTTGCGCCTTGGAGTTTGGCTAATGTCTCGTGTTGTTTCCTTGCTTGGTGTTTCAAGTGTTCCGAGCTCATATTTTCCTTGATAAGATGTCTTTTCACTAGGTACACCTCAGGGGATGAGAATGAGGATAGTCTTCGGTGTGGGGCAAACAAGGTTAGGGCACCGAAGACTGACGCCAATGCGGCCAAGGTCAATGTAAAGGGCAATGCCTAGGTTTGGGAAGTTGGTGCTCAGGAGGCTAGTACCAACGAGGCTACCGAAGCTGACGTTGAGTTGGAAGAGGAAGTCCTTGAGAGGAGGTTCGGTGAGCGGTTCACCTTGGCTCCATGTAGCCTTTCTTCGCCTGATATGGTCCGAATCCGGGAAGCTTATCGCATACCATAGGATTTCGAACTAAGGTGCTCGGGGATAAGTGAGAGCAATGTTTTAAAAAACAACCTGGAACCGGAACCGTTATGGCCACTGGTTTCTGGGTCGAAGGTTCAACCGTCCAGTCCGAATGGATAGCTTGTTATGACGAAAAATATAAAATAAGTAAAAATTAATTAAAATAAAAATGGTCAAAAACCATTGATCAGGTCGAACGGTTCGATGGCAAGACCACCCGAGTCAACGGGTTGTTGACCGATTCAACGGTTTTTGGCTAGGGACTGGGTTTGGGGTAAAATGGAACTGATTGCCTAGATGATTCCCAGGCCAAACGGTTTAACCGTCTAGGTCAACAATGGCTCAAAAATGTTGGATGAGAAGGTCACTTCGGCTCGTTCTGGGGAGATTTGGGTTTACGTCCATAGCTTGGCCATTGACCTTAGGTTCCTTCTAAATCCGGGGGTAGTGGTTGTGTTGAGGTGGTATCGGGTCCTACCCATTCAGTTGATGCTAAATTCATTTCGATACCTGGCTGGGTTGCTCTACTACTACACTCTCAAGGAGATTGAGATTATCCTGCCAATGTTTAGGTACTTTCTCCACCTAAAGAAGCACAAGTAGGGTTACTACTACTTGTCAGATAGGCCAAACACCAAGGTGCTCATTAGGGCTACCTCTTCCATTAAGCATTAGAAAGAGAGCTTCTTCTTTGTCAAGCATCAAGGAGGTTGGTCATTTCCCCACACCTTGTCCGCTCCGAGGACAAAGGATAAAAGCCCTTCCCAAGCTGAGCTATCGGAGGAGGTGGTGGTTTCTATAAGGAGGGTAATGAGGGTACATACCGGGGAGTGCACATCATCCCAAATGTTAACCCTTGCTGGTCTGTAGATTACATTGTTCCTCCTTGGTGAGCTTCTTTCCGTTTTTACTTTGATTGGTTTTGATTGTTCGTGGTGATTTATGCAGATTTTGATATGGTTGGCATTGAAGACAGAGTTCGACGACGCATGCAGGCCATGGCCACAAGGAAGGTCCAGGCAGAAAGGGCCTCTAGTGCATCGTCGAGGGCCCCAGGCTCCCAGTATCATTCAGTAAAGGGCACACCTCAGTAGACGAAGATACCGAGATATACAAAGGAGGTAGTGGTGGTCGATTTCGAGGAGGCCACCACTTAGCTTGGGTGGTCTTCATTGCAGAGGGGGGATGCTCTGGAAAATGTTTCGGTCGAGGGTGACAGGTCAATTGGCGTATATGTGCCGCGCTAGTTAGTTTGGCTGGATGGCACCCTTGAGACTAAGGGGGTGGCTGAGCAGCTTGTCCAGGGTGTGATGCTCCCTGACATCAAGAGGGAGGTCGACAGCGACACCAGTAACTTCCCGGAGAGTTCGGCCACACATAAGATCATGTGGGTAATCTCATCTTTGTCTTGCTTTGTCCACTTTCTCTTTCATCTCTTTCTACTAACTGTGCTTTGGTCTACAGTTGGTGTGCTCGATGGTTGGCCTGGTCGACCATCTCCAGGGTTGCAACGGCTATATGAGGTGAGGGAGGTTGAGAATGCTTAGTTGAAAGTTGAGTTGTCAGAGCTGAAGTGGGGGTCGTGGAGAGGGACAAGGCCATTCTCAAGTTGAGGATCTGCACCCATGAC